TTTTTCGTCCTTTCTGTCTAACCAAGCGTCCACTTTCAGTAAACTACATGCTATCACAAATGTGCGTTTCATGCGATTCGAGCAAACATTTCTCTATAGCATGCTGTTTAACTAACGCCCTAACTTGTCGACAAGCTGCAACCAGCTAGCGCACCTTTACTCCGGTCTGGTCCATGTTCCCCATGAAAGGGTCGAAGACGTGTGTGATCTCGTGGCCTACCACGTGACCTAGGCCCCCGTAGCGCGCCGCCGTGGGCAGAGAGCGCGCAAAGTACGGCGGGAACTGTATGGACGGCATGATGAACATCACGTGGTAGACGAACATGTAGAACGCGTTCACCGGTATGGGCTGCGCATGCAGGTACAGCTCGCGGTTGATGGACCGGTTGCCGCGGCCGCCGCGCAGAAGGGGCTTGGACTGCGCCAGGGCGGCGCGAAGCGATTCCGTGTACGTGCGCAGAAACGGGCGCCTGCGTAGAGGTGCCAAGTTTGCGTGGTTGTAAAGCCGTAGAGTCTTTTTTTCGTTACGGCCGTTCACGACACCTGAAAACTTGTGATCATGTACCAGCTCGTGCTTTCTTCGTCATCTTCATCTCGTGCTTCATCCCAGAAGACGTGCGCCTATATGGCGTGTGTGACCATAACTCCGATTGGCGAGAGAACGAGCGCAGAGACAGAGAGACAGTGAACGCGAAGAAAAAAAAAAATAGAAGGTGAGAGAAGGAGTGCAAGGAGAAAGTGACAGAGAGGAAAAAGGGAGAAAAAAGGGTAGCAAATGAGAATGATAAAGGATAAAGAAATCGAAAAAGAAAAAGATGGAACACAGATACCAAACAAAAACAAAAAGAGCAAGCATAGCTACGTATAGTATAGTATAGCCTATCGTACAGTGTAGTATAGTATGGCGTAGTATAGCCAATTGAATATTGTCACATAGTATTGTATAGTATAGGCTATCGTAAAGTATAATATATCCTATAATTTAATGTAGTATAGTATAGCCTATCGTACATTGTAGTACAGTATGGTAAAGTATAGCCTATAGCATATTGTAAAATAGTATAGCATATCCTATCATGTAGTATAATATACTATATGGCATAGTATCGTATAGCCTATAGTATAATTCAGCTCTGTATAATCTACCGTATAGTTTAGTATAGTACGGTATAGTATAGCGTAACCTATCGTATAGCATAGTAAGAATTGGGAAAGGGCAGCGACTATGAGGAGGAGGAAAAAGAAGAAGGCAACGCCACCAGTTCCGCCATTTCCCAAATCTTCGCACCATTATTGCGTAGCGGCCTAAACTTCCCTCAATGCGCATATGTCGTCCACTGCTCAACAGAAGTGGTGGCACAGTAATACAAAATTTTAAACATATTTTGCATTAAAGGGACCCCTCTAGTTCACCCGGAAAGCGAGTTGAAAGACATTTCGCTGATAAAATTAAGATCAGTCCAATTTGGTTGTTGTTCGTAAGGACCACAGAAGCCTTAACTAAAAACTTGTTTTCTTAGGATATGCTATACAACAACCTTTGGCCACGGTTGATCGGCTCTGCCTTTCAATCCTAATGCGCTTTTTGCAGGGTAATCTTGTATTGATGCTCATATAAAATGTTAGCGAATTATTTAGAAAATTAATTAATAACATACACAACAGGAGACGTGCACCTAATCGTTTATTCGGGTAAAGCCTATAGCTGTGCTTTGAAATTAAGTCCTGAATTCCCCCCAGTTTTGTGTACACGATGACCTGTGCCCCCGGATTGTAGTCGCGATAGATGTAATATATTGTATATGACCGCCACGAATAACTTGTGCTGCTTTTGTTTCTCCAGCCGTAGAGCCGCTTGAAAGCGTAACGGTATTCGAAAAAGAACGCGAGGACAACGGGAAACAACACAATGACGAGCACAAGGACAAGCGCGTATTGCGCTTGTCCTTGGGTTGCTCTTCCCCTTCATTTGCGTCATCATCATACTCATCGTCAACTGCATGATGGTGTCCACCGAAAGACAAAGGTGTTTCGCATGTTCCACCAATCAACCCGGTCCTCTTCTTGTTGTGGTTAGGTTTATCGAGCCATCAGTAAGATTCAGTTTGCCCACTTGATGGTATCCCCCCTTGCTCGTTTGCCTCCTTCAAGAATACATTCTGTGAGCAGCGGTTATCTTCCTGTACGTGCTACACGCTCTGTCTATGCCCACTTCTTCCTCTTCATTACGACTAAGATTCCCTACAAACCCGTTTGTACCATGGCCCGCCCTGTCCTCTCGTCCCTCAAGGTTACGCCCATCTTCCTTTCTATCGCTCGTTGCATCGTCCTCAATTCGAGTTCAATTTTATGTAAGCCTCCAGGTTTCCGCTTCAAGAAGGCACCAGTGAAACGCAGCTGTTCTGCACAATCCTCTTGAAAAATAGTAGCAAACTATAATCCATAATTTGAGAATGGCTACCGAATGTGCACCACCCCATTCTTATTGCTTTAGTAACTTCCGTTTCACAGTGCGACTCCGTGGTCATGTACCTGTCTTTAGTAGACTTTTGCCACTTCCGTTACCCATTCCAAAGCGCTATTCCCTTCCGAGAGAGTTGCGATCATTTTTTTTCGGCGTATGAAGCGTCGCGATTTAGTGTGCGTTAATGCTGTGGCTGACCTGAACTTGGGCAGGTAGGAGTAGTGGGCGTCAATCGCCTCGGCCGACGACAGCTCCTTGGGGAAGGCGACAATCTCGTGCAGCGAGGAGAGCTTGTTGACGGCCTGCCTGCGCGTGGAGTCCTCCATCCAGGAGAGGTTGCGGAAGGCGAGCAGGGAGGAGTCGCGTATCGAGTTCACCATGCGGTCGGCTGTCTTGAGCGCTCCCGCCGGCAGGAACTTGGCGAAGAAGAAGTGGGCCAACGCGAACGGCGCCATCTCCGAGACGCGGCCGATGCACGACTCGAGGTACGTGACGGCCATCTGCGCCTCGCTCGTCTCGGCCTGCAGTTAGGGTTTAGTTTAGTTTCAGCCGATTATTAATTCAAGATACAAAGGTCCATGGTCAGTGGTATGTAGGTGAAGGTCCCAAAGTAGAGCGACTGCAGCGGGACACTCGGTTAACTTTCTCACTAACAAACAAATAATAAATTATACAGCATGTCAATATTACACAACGCAAACGGAATTCAATATTGAACGTACTAGAAAAAAAATCAAAAAGCAAAATTGCCTTCAATGCTTGGCAATGAGTGCATAAGAATTAGTTATAAGGATTAGTTGTAGATGTGAACACACTGTTCACATACAGACTGTTTTCCGCAGTGGAGAAAATGTAGTGAAGAAGGTGAATATCTGCCCGAAGGAAAACCTGATGGAACGATGGAATGCGAGGTGGCAGTGGTGCGCACGGCGTTGACCCAATCGAAACGGGCGTCGACGCCGGTGCTAGAAGAATGGTTTGAAGCAAAACTCGGTGTAGCGTTCACTCGCGTAAATGTTTCTTCGAAGCGCAAATACACGGGAGGTGGGTTGGGTTTCAATTTTCACCGCAGATAATTGAACCGAAAGGGTGTTTCCGTTCGACGTGTGGTCGAGCGTTGCGGGTGGTGGAGAGAGTGAAGCGACAGAGAAGTGTGTTGCGAACAGGCCGAGGGGCCGGCAACTGCTGCGGGTGAGGGGGAGAGTTACGTCAACGTGCAGCTGTGACTTGACCTACTTGGCCCCGCTCCAACACCTGTGGCGAAGGGGTTCGTACGAACGTAAGGGACAGCGTTAGAGAGGCTAATCAAAGAGCTGCTTCGCATATACAAAACTCAGCAGTGGCTTTGCTCGGCTATGTCAACATATACGAAGCGTGACCTAATGGGGTGTCGCTAAACTTAATGTTTCACGTATGGTACTGATTGCCGGGGTCAAGTATTTCATGTGCCTTGGTATTTCACACACGTCGAACACATATCCAAAATGAATGTTCTCGAAGTCCGCCTCGAAAGTCCGAGTCATACTGCCGCTTTCGCTAAGTTTCACAGTATCTGAGTCAGTCAATCGGCCTGCTGGTGAAGCCACTTTGCCAGACGTTACTTCCTTTGCTCCGGTGTCTCCGCTGCACGTTTAGTCTTCCGTTCGTTCTTCTTGCGCTCAACGGTGAATTGTCCGACAACTACTTCGGGATCCAAGTGAGTTAAGATTTTCCTATCGCCCCGCCGCGGTGGTATAGTGGATAATGCACTCCGCTGCTGACTCGTAGGTCGCGAGATCGAATCCCGGCTGCGGCTGCTGCATTTTCGATGGAGGCGAAAATGCTGTAGGCCCGTGGGCTCAGATTTGGGTGCACGTTGAAGAACCCCAGGTGGTCGATATTTCCGGAGCCCTCCAGTACGGCGTCCCTCATAATAATATGGTGATTTTGGGACATTACACCCTACATCTCACATCATCATGAAGCTTCTCTGCTCTTCTGCGCCGCTGAGCAGCAGTTTCGCTCTCCTCTTCCATCGGTATACTATACTGGCAAACGCCCCGCTATCGGTATGGAGCGCCGCGGCAAATGCGACCAAAGAGAACAGCGTGACTCGAGGTGCACGAGTTACGGGGTACAACTAGAATGCGTCTGCCGCGCCTATGACGTCAATCTTCTAAAATGCAGAAAAAACCGCAAAAAGCCAGTACCTCTTCGCCTGCTTCTAATCGCGAAGGTGCCGGCCCACGTCACGTAGGCGTGCGTGTTGCCAGGGAAGGAGAGCAGATGAGGGGGCTCCTTATCTGGCGGAACAATAAACTTGCCATCGATCCATTCATTCGCAGCTTGGCGAGATACGCCCAGTCATTGCTGCTGGCGCATGCGCAGCACGGCCCTCGTACGTGCACGCAAAACAGATTTGGCTTGGCCTTGGCTTGGTCAGTGTAGCTAACGCTACATCTAAAAGGGAATCGCTTAAATTCGGGCCACAGACTGAAAGACGCTTTTGAGGACTGCTCTCGTCACGGTCACGAGAATACTGGGAACAAGGAATCCTTCGGCTCGTTCTTTGATGGGATCGTTTAGATTAGGCACATACTTTGAATAAAGTTTTCATTTATATCCGGAGTGTCCCATCGTACCTTTTCAATTAAACACTCCTTGTATGCAACACTCACTGTTACCTGGGTGCGTGTGTGTGTAAAAGTGCTGCGTGTACGTGCTCAAATAATTTTGTAAGTGGTTAGCTAACTCAAGCAACAAGTTCTTTTTCTGCATGACTTGTCTGGACAGTTCGGCGGTATCCGGGGCGGTTGGGAACCCCACCTGCAGTGCCTTGGTGAGCTCATACGAGGCGAGCGGCATCAGCGACCGGGCCACGTGCCAGCCGATGAAGAGCCGCAGCCGGTCCGGCTCGCGAGCGTACTTGCCCAGGAAGCGACCCGCGACGCCCAAGTAGGCGGTGCCGATGATGTACAGCTCGCTGAGCTCGCCCATCTGGGCCTCTTCGGGGAGGTGCCGGTTGATGGCCTCCAGCCAGCGCTCGGAGGAGACGCGGCCCGCGCTCAGGTCGCCCAGCTCCTGCGCGTCACGCACAATAGCGTGCGAACGCTAGACAGTTGGTAGACATTCGTAGTACAGGACACATCTAAATAAACACGGCAACATATAGACAGGACTATAGCGCTAGTAATGTGAGAATTTTCAACTTTCCTGTATTCTTCCCGTTTACTTTGCGCTCACGTCCCACATCACCATCACAATCGTCATTCTGCCTCTCTGCCTGACCGTAGGCAAAGACCTCTCCAGTTTTCCACCATTCAACCCAGTCTTGTGCTTGGTGCATGCCACGTTGCACCCACAAGCTTCTTATTCTCATCCGCGAATTTGTCTTTTCCTTTCGCTAATTTGCCTTTTCTTGGAATCCAATATTTCAATCTCGAATCCAGTGGTTACTTTGCCTACAACTTGCCCATTACCTTTTCAATGTGATTTGGACTGACACGCCTTCAACAACAACAACAACAACAACAACAACAACAACAACAACAACAACAACAACAACAACAACAACAACAACAACAACAACAACAACAACAACAACAACAACAACAACAACAACAACAACAACAACAACAACAACAACAACAACAACAACAACAACAACAACAACGTCAAAACAACATCAACAACACCACCACCACCACCACGACCACCACCACCACCACCACCACCACCACCACCACCACCAACAACAACAACAACAACAACAACAACAACAACAACAACAACAACAACAACAACAACAACAACAACGTCAACAACAACATCAACAACAACAACAACAACAACAACAACAACAACAACAACAACAACAACAACAACAACAACAACAACAACAACAACAATAACAACATGCATCGCGGACGCACGACCCACGGCATAAGGAGCTTTGTCCCTAAAAACGTGCGCAGGTGTCTTCACTTTTCAGCACCATAGGAGGGCGAACTCATTGATGGGTCGACTCACTCGGATTCGACTCGGATCGAGCTGTAGTCTGAGCGAGTCTGACTGCGTACTATTCTGGTGAGTGAGTCTTAGCGAGTCGGAGTATAAACATTTTCGTGGGTGTGAGTACGGCTCAGGGAAAATTTGATGAGTCCAAATGAGTTCAAAGTGCATGATATATATTTTGAGTGCTATCTCCTTGTCGTCACCATAAGTATCAGCCTTATCTGGGTCTACATATATACTCACGTGTATACTCATACGTATTACAGAGCAGTATTCATACACTGTTACAATATTTATAGATCAGAGGTGTGAGTTGCGTAGGAGGTTGCTTTGACCTCTGCCCGGCCAGCTCTCCCAGAGAAGCTCGTAATATATAAATACATTTCATGTTGTTTCTTACTCGCTTGCAAGCACTCAAAACTTGTATTCTAAGGTACTTCATTAAAAGACGTCAGGAAGAGCACTGATTGCATAAGACATTGGTGTGAAAGAGCATTGACACTGTGAAACAAGCTGATTCTTGACTAATGGGATTATGAGTCGACTCACTTGGACTCACTCAGACTTGGATCAAGCCGCAAGTCGGAGTTAAAGTTAGTCGCGATGAGTAATACGTTAGCGATCTCGCGTAGAGCTGATGTTTTTTTTAATTATTGTATCAATCATTTGTATGTCTGGCATGTCTATCAGAGGCTTTAGTTGAACCTGTTCGCTCGCTGAATTTCGTGCCGACCGGTTGTGCCCCACCCCCCAGACCTCCGACGACAGCGCAGCTCTGGCCGACTGGCTCGCCCTACGCCATCTCCTGCCGCCGACAAGAGCTTTCGCTGAGTGGTGCCCCGTTCTTGGACTCCTGCGACCGTGTCAATCTTTCCCATCTCCTCCTTACTTGCTTCGTTTTCTGTCATTCGCTGTCCCTGCGCCTCCCTCTATCTATTTACCCTTCATACCTATCTTTTTGACCCCTCCTTAGCCACTTCCCTCGTTAGCTACTGTTGAGGTGCTGCACTCTGATGCAGACAGTTAGGCCGCGTTCACACTGAGCATTCCGGCCGCCGAAAGTGCTCCGAATCCGGTTCGGCGGCGGCGAGTTCCGCCGAAAGGGCCCTCTCCGCGCCGATCGCTCTCGGACCGATTTTTGCGGTGTCTGCCGCCGAATCGGTCACCGCGGACCAATAAGAGCGCTAGTCAAGGAATTTAAGAAAATAGCGGCCAAGCCCTACTCACTTGTTATGCCGCAGTGCACGTAACTGAATGTTGAAACCAACGGGAGTTTAACCTACTCTGTGCCTACTTCGCCTCCGTATTTCGTGAAAGAGGTGACCGAGCTTGTTGCTGTCTTGCAGAGCAAAACAAACCCACCAACGCCGCTGGCGTCGGCGGTTTTTCTGCTCTTCGTGCATTACAAGACAGCCACTTGCCAGCAAAGTAAGCAGTACAGTCTTTTTTTTGCTTCTTGCGTACGAGAATCGTCGAAGTATACACCACTGGATAGCGTAGTAGCGTTTGCAAGCCGCGACAACAACCGGGTGACAGCGAACCCATCCCGCGTTCGCCCCGTAGTAGATGGCATATTCAGCGGCGCGGGGTGCGTCCAGTGCGAACGATGCTGCGTTTCGGTGGCAGGGGAATTTCGGTCGCTGGAGAAAGCGGATGTTTCAGTGTGAACTAGGCATTACGGTGGTGGTGGTGGTGGTAAAAAACATTTATTTCAGAAAAAGTCTACTAGAGAGTGCCGACGTGGCTCATCGGCGTGCTAGAGTGGCAAGACCCTATTCCGGGACGCCAGTGGAGCTGGAAGCTGCCTGTGCACGCTCCACCAAGGGGCGTTGTGCAGCCAAGGTAGAGCAGCCGAGCAGGTGCTCCTCCCAAGCCTCTCTAGTTGGGATAGGAAAATGGGGTGAGAAAGGGACGGGATTAACTGGGCATGATGCTACGACGTGATATGTGTCGGCGAGGACATGACAGGTCGAGCAGGTGCCACTGATTTCCGGCAAAAAGTGCCTGGCGACCGCCGGACTGATAAAGGTGTTCGTCTGCAGGCGGCGTAGCAGTCGTTCGTCCGCTTTCTCCAAACCGCGTGCGGGGTCCGGGTAGAGGCGGCGCGAAGTCCGGTAATAAGCCAAAATTTCGCGAAAGCGCGTCAAGTTGGTATTGCCAGATTCTGTCTCGGGACATGGAGGGGCAACGGCCCGGACAGGAGAAGCGCGGGCAGCGGCATTTGCCGCCTCGTTGCCGGGCAGGCCCGAGTGGCCTGGGGTCCAGACTATACGAATGAGATGAGGGTTAAAGCGCCAAGAGGCTGCCTGTAGTAGGCTAGCCGCCAGCGGGGCAATGGAACCCTGAAGGTACTGAGAACAGGCCGAGCGCGAGTCCGTCAGGATGGTGCGTGAGGCAGGGTGAGAGGCGGCCAAAGCTATGGCAACCTCTTCAGCGTGCGTTACTGTGTCTGCTCGAAAGGAGAGGCCATCTACGTGTTTGCCCTCTGTAATCACGGCAGCCGGGAAGTGACCCGAGGGGGAGGGACCCGAGACGTCCACGTAGAAAACACCAGGACGATCGGAGTGTCGCATATGAAGGGCCGCGGCGCGTGCTAGTCTACGGCCAGGATGGAGGTCGGGGTTCATATTACGGGGTAGAGGTTCCACCCATAGCTTTTGACGCCAGAGCTCTGGTACCGGCTGCAGAGGGTCTTGGTCAGATATTGGGTTAAGGCCAAGTCTGTGTAGAAGACGGCGCCCTGAAGGCGTCTGCGACAGTCGATTGATTTGGTTAACGCGATGAGCTTCGCGCATCTCTGCAAAGGTGTCGTGTACCCCCAGAGCCGCGAATCGGCTGTTGGAAGTTGCAATAGGTAGGTCCAGAGCGCGTTTGTATACTGAACGAAAAAAATTGCCCGCAGCTTCCCTCGGGGGAACACTGAGGAGGATGCGGAGCATATAATTGGTTAACGGGGTGTTAAAGTGCGACTTACTTGGGTCGATGGCTAACTTGGTTAACGTGGTTGTGAAATGGGGTGTTAAATTGCGACTTACTTGGGTCGATGGCTAAATTGGTTAACGTGGTTGTAGGAGGGGGTGTTAAATGAGTGAACACGTACACACGTATGCGAAAGGGCGGCGCTGGTCGAAGGGACGTCGATCATTGTGTTTGTGGATTCGTTGGAATTCATTTCACCGCGACCTTGGACGTCGACGCGCCGTACAAACCAACCGACGCGCGGCAACTGAGCGAGCGAGCGCCGACCTTGAGTATATATACAGCGCGACGGCGCATGCGCTGTCAGCTGTCGAATGTTCTCGAGGGAGAAGCGCGCGCGGCACAGATGGTGGGCGACGACGCGACGGCGCATGCGCGCGCGTCAGCTGTCGAATGTTCGAGAAGCGGTGCGGACGGCGCGGACGGCGCACTACAAGGCGCGAGTATAAGATGCTTCCGCATCTAAAAGGACGTCCAGCTGGTGCTCGTGTCGACGACGCAGGCGAAGGTAAGGCAAGGCGTAGAGGACGCGACTGGTCACAAACGCGTGGGCCAATCGGAGGGACTGAGACCCGCGGAGGCCGCCACGCTTGGTAGAAACTCGCCGTATCATGCGGCTCACCTGTTCGCTGGTGCATCTGAGGCCTGCTATTGTGCCCTTTGGATCCAAGGACGATGTGAGGTGAAGGCCAATAACCCGAATATTTTGCACTGACGGGACGGGCACAGACGGAAGAAAAATTTGAGGCGGCGGTAGCGGAGAGACTGAAAGAAGAGCCGATTTAGCTGGAGAGCACTCCAGGCCGCATGAACCTGCGTAGGTGTCCACCAGAAGGGCAGCATTTTGCAGGCGTTCTTCGATTTGCGCTAAGGAGCCGGTGTTGGTCCAGATTGTGATATCGTCCGTATATAGTGCGTGTTGTATTCCCTCGACCTCGCTTAGAAGAGAGGGGAGGTTCATCATCGCCAGGTTAAAAAGCAGAGGAGACAGGACTGCCCCTTGAGGTGTACCCCGCGTGCCTAATAAGTAAGGGCCGTGTTCGGTAGAATTAAGGCGAATGAAGGCGATGCGATGTGATAGAAAGGCGCGAATGTAGTTGAAAGTCTTCTGCCCGCAGTTTGTGGTAGACAGGTTAGTGAGTATAGTGCTGTGTTTGACGTTGTCGAACGCCCCGCGGAGATCGAGAGCGAGCACGGCTTTATCGTTATTGCGCATAGTAGTCGGCTCTATGATATCGTGTTGAAGCTGGAGCAGGACGTCCTGCGCCGACAGATGCGGGCGAAAGCCAAACATCGTGTCGGCAAAGGTCCTCCTGGCCTCCAAGTAGGCGGAAAGGCGTTCGCGAACCATGGTTTTCATGAGTTTGCCTGCGCAAGACGTAAGTGAGATGGGTCTCAGTGCCTCAATACTAACGGACTTTGCCGATTTGGGAATGAATGTCACGACCGATGTGGTCCATTCCGTTGGAAGCGGAGAGCCGTCCCATGTCGAATTTATAAGGTGGAGTAGCGAGAGGTGTGCTTGGTCGGGAAGATTTGCCAGGAGCGATAGTGTGATTCCGTCGCGTCCAGGGGCCGTGCCCCGTCGCATTTTCGTGAGTGCAAATCGTAAATCAGAAAGCGTGTACGGGGCGTCGTGGTCGGTGTTAGGGGCGCCGGAATACGTATATGCTGGGCCTGCGGGATCAATTGTGCGGCAGATGTAGCGGTCACAAAGTTCTCGCGCGAGTTCATCCGTAGTGCCTTGAAAGGCATGCAGAACACGGTGGAGCTGGCGTTGCGTTTTTCCCCTGGTGGTGGAGGGATCGAGAAGGCTTCTAAAAAGTCGAGGCATTACGGAGCTCACTTTTCTCTTTAAGAATCAGAAACGAATCACATAAGAACCTGTTACACCAGTTAGCCACTATTACCACCTGTTCTTTGCTTCAAGAATTCGTGAGACATTTAAATTTACTGCTCCGAGCATTTTGAATATTTTATAGTCGTTTGTTAAAGGATAAAATTGAAGGTTAATTTGCTTTTACCAGCACTTTTTATCGTATAAGTTACAAAAGAAACCATTTGTATAGACTGCTCAGCTCTGAAATGTAACCAGATGTATCACTATGCCTTTTCAAGATAATTTGTGCAAGGGCTTCGCTTACGCAGCTTGGCTCCACTGACACTCTCATCTGTTGTTTCTTCGTAGCCATACCATAGTAGAGTACTAAGTACTCTAAATCGTTAACCACTTTTTCTAAACACATAGTAGAGTACCCTGTGCTCTAAATCGTTACCGCCTTTTTCTAACCCCCCCCCCCCCCCCGTTCTTGTATTGCTCCGACAATAAGCCATTTTCAGCTAGTCTGACTTTTTGCTTCACGGGACGGCTTTAGGCTTTCCCATAGTAGAGTATCCTATACTCTAAATCGTTACCCACTTTCTCTACCCCCCCCCTCTCTTGTATTGCTCTTCACACTTTGATCTTAGCCAAAAGCTTCCATGATAGAGTACCCAAGGGAAGGCTGTATGCTTTCTCATAGTAGAGTACCGAGTGCTCTAAAACGTTTACTACTTTTTTCTAAACCAATCCGACATTGGTGGTTAGGCTCTCGACGTCATTCATTGAGGCCATGGGGACGGTTTTATTCTCTCCCATAGTAAGTAGTACTTCGTATTCTAAATCGTGAGCTACTTTTTCTAGACACACGGGGTGGATTTATGCTTTCCCATAGTAGAGTACTAAACAGTCTAAAAATTGTTAACCACTTTTCAACTCCCCCCGCCCCCCTCTAGTCCGCGAGCATTCTTGCCGTGACTAGCCGTGTTCGAAGTACTCTAAATCGTTAGCAACTTTTTCTAAACACGCACAATAATTACAAGAGAAAACGCGTTGATGAAAAAATTACAGCATACCCATCGAGTGAATGATTATTAGTCGGGCGATGTGTCCGTCAGTTTATTCGTGCTTCCGTGCGTCCGTCCGTCCAATCATGCATCCGTCCAATCGTGCATCCGTCTGTGCTTCCGTCCGTCTGTCCGTGTGGCCATCCGTAGATCGATCTGTCCGTCCGTGTTTCTGTCCGTCTGTCTAGTGAACACTCCAAGTACCACCGTCCCGCATATTTTCATTATATATTGATTATATACAGATACCGCCATCTAGCGGACATTCCAAGAACTAAACTTCTTTGGGACACATGCCCGATAAAGGTGGTTACTACGGAGGACGATCGGGTGACGCCTTAAGGAGCTTCACCCCTAAAAAAACGTTCCAATTCTTTCACTAAATGCTAATCTGAAACATGCGCTTAACACAGCTGTGCAGCTCAAGTTTCACAACTGTAGAATTTGAGTAAGTACGTACGTAGCATGAACAGTGGGTGATTACCGTTCGTAGAGTGTCCACTGCACCATTGACGAAATCGCCGATGGTGTCAGTGTTTGAGGTAAACATGTACGGTTTCCCCCGGCACGAGTAGAATATAGAATCGCAAACTCAGTGGGTGACATGTGCACTTTTTGCTGTGCGTTATCGAATCCCTGCTGGTTACGACATGAGATACGTCTTATGCGCAGCGAGTTCGGTCAGGCTGTTTCCCAATATCAGATGGAGCAGTGAAGCGCCGGTAGAAGGAGCTATAGCTTGTTTGGCGAGGTAGTAGCGCCATCTGTTCCGTGGCTGAAATGTCCGCCGCGTGTTTACGAAACACTTTCAGGTATTTTATATTTATTATTGTGATTACTTCGGGGTTATTTATGTTGGTTGGTTTGTAACAACTTCATTGTGGTAATCACTTTAATGGTTATTTCAGTTCTGTGTATTATTTTAGACTTTGTTGACTTATCTTGACCTGCTTTTGAGGCTGGCTGGCTTTATTTCAGGCCTTCACCGAACCCTTCATTGTGAGTGTCCGAGTGAGTCTGTCTGAAAATATTCATGAGTGTGAATCCTATTCACTCCGGTTAAAGAGTGTTTTGGTGAGGGTGAGTCTGAGTACGCCGTAAGCGCAATATATATTTTACGAGCAAATTTGAGCCAGCTCCACAAGTTTTGTCGACCTATGTTGTGCACTGGCTGGCTGGCTGGCTGTGTTATGACGACGGGTTGACTGTTGTGTCTTCATTGCTGAGAACTGTACTTCCTGCTCATACAGGTAGGTCAAAGAAGCCCCGATCATGGGCGTCGACAGGATATCGCCTTGGAGGCTGCAAACTTGCGTTGCATGGCTGTTGGGGGAAGGCTGGTGTCGCTTGAAGGGGCATTAGCTTTTCTTGCACCCCCCATTTTGCACCCCCCTGCCGACGCCCATCACCCTTATCACTAAATTTAAATCATACACTGATACATTAGTGTTTCACCACTACTGCATTGATGGATGGCGCTTCATTCTGTTTTTGTAAGTTTCGATAGCGATTACGTTGAATAGTAAAATGCGATAGCAAATGTTAGAAAATGCTGCAAGACCATTCGCACTTTTGTACGAGTGGTTCGGAGAATGTAGGATCCATGCTGCATGTGTTTTTTCTCTACGCATTTACAAAAATCAAGGAGGTGTTTCGATGGTTTCTGTTTTTCTGTGCGTTTGTCAATGATAAGCTGTTTTTTCGGCATGCTTTCATGTGTGGAACAATGATGTCTTTTCAAGTCACAGCGTGCGGCTTTACACTTTCACGTCCTTTTCTTTCTGCCCACAGTGACGAGAGAAATAAATATTTTACTTCATTTCGATGCGTCGTACCTGGAACTGCGAGTAGCCGATGAGGTCCTTCTCCTTGAACTCGAAGTACATGGACATGAGGTCGGTGTCCATCTGGACCATGTCCTCGACCAGGGACGCGTAGTCCTGACCCGGGTTGCCCAGTGCCACCGCCAGCTTTTGCAGCATCTTGCCCAGGGCTGCGCCGGGCAGGTGTAGGACCCTGTGCTGGAACCAGAGCATGAGCCCCTGGTTGTGGCTCAGCGACAGGATCAGCCGGTCGTCCTGCCGGAAGTTGGGCACCAGCTTCATCTGAAACAAGAAGTGCACGTCGGTGTCCAGGCTGAGGCCCACGAGGGCGTCGAGCACGTTGAACTCGGCTGAGTCCAATGGCACGTCGGGCCAGCCGAGGCCGTGGTCGCCAAGGAAAGCGCGCAGCCCTTCGAGGTTCTCCTCGCGGTTCACGAAGATGTCCTCGCACATGCGCAAGGCCTGCGCTGACTTCTCGCCGGAGCGGCTCGGCGCCGAGCTCGGCTGGCGCCTGATGTCGGTGTACAGGCTGAAGAAGATCTTGCGCTGGAGGCTCGTGAACTGGTTCGTGTCCATCGGATGCACCTGGGAATGTACAGGATGTGTTTGGTTCTCATGTCTCTGATATTAGACAGCGTTGTTGTTGGCGAGAATTACCAGCGTTAATAAAATCATGATGTCAGACTATCTCCGGTGATGAGAAGAATGCTCTTGTGAAGTAACTTGCTCGAGAACTGCCCACTTCACAGGCTAGCTATGAACTCTTTCTTTGAATAAATTCTTATTAGTTTGTATTTCAATGCTTACCACATACCTTAACGCGTGCGTCATGCGATGATATATCATTGCTATAAAGCATATTTGATATTATTTATACCAAGGAAACATTGATTTTCATCATTGAGTGGTACTGTTCGAGTGGTCTCACTGATATATATCCCTTCTAATCTACTCCGTTTCGAACTACAACTTTAGAAGGACGTCTTTGCGGGCTAGTTTGTTCCTACTTTGAAGTTAAAAATGGCATGAAAAAGCGAGGAGGAGCAGAAGAAACTAGCATGCCCCTGTAGTCTTATTTGTTCCTTCATTCTATGTTCGTTTGTTTTTGTGCAATGTAAACTTATTCGTTGAACTAGACATGTTCGTTTTAAAAAATTTTCGAGTAGTTTTATCCCATACTCTAAAGTTTTCTTTTATCAAAACTGATTTTCTTCATTCGACTGAAGGACAAAAGTCGATAAAGATCTGGTTCAATATTTTAAACAGCAATTGTGCAGTAAGTATAGCCAGGAGCGTGTCATACATGCCATGAACTGAAGCAAAAGACAAAGCGTGAGTGTCACTTCTTACAATAAAGGCAACGGAGACATAAGGGATACTTTGAAGCTTCCATCGGTAGCGTAGTGATTGTCACATTAAAGAGAAGGAATTGATATTCTTCCCATCTACTCTTTGTACAACCAATGATATACCTACGTACATTGTTTATTGGTTTAATTACGTTTTATATAGCAGCAACGGACTCTTGATTCATTCTGTTTTTCTCCATGTCACCATGAAGACATTTGCGAACAATGAAGGCGACTCGGACCATTTCATCGTTGTGAAACATTACAAGAGTGGCGTTATCATACATGTGCTGGTACTATTATCACATTTTTTCCCAAGCAGAAATGTGCAGGCGGTGACCTAATACCTTGCTCCATCGTCCGCATGTGAACTGGTAGAAGTCGGTGCACGGGTCCACGTTGGCGTCCATGGCCATGGCTAGCTCCTTCGGGAAGTCGTAGCAGTCGGGCGCGAAGCAGCGTGGCGCCACCACCGTGGTCACCAGGTGCGGCACCAGCGCGTACAGGCTCGCGTACGCCAGACTCGCTACCAGCGTCGCCAAGCACGGGCTCACGTGCGTCGCGCACCATGGCAGCACGCCCCCGGCGTCCTGAACGTCGTCGGCGTCTTCGTCCAGCGTGGCTGCTTGTTCGACGGCCTCCGAAGACGGTGGCGAGAGTGGATTACGCCCAGGTCTGGTGGCCCTCCTGGTACACGGTCCTTCAGGGGGAGTTCAATGGTCGCTGCCGAATTGCCAGACAGGGCCGTGCACCGAGCCGGAACAGGTCTGGTGCTCCTCCTGGTACACGCACTCCCCTAGTAGGTGCCTGAGGGTAGTGACAGGCGTGGTACCAGTATCCCGTAGTTCGGGTTTGACTTGTCCCGTACAGTAGCTAACGCGAGTCTAGGCGAAAGCAGGAGGCTTTTCGAAGCGGCTCTGATCGACGACCTCATGCGGAAGAGGCTGACCATGCGCTCGTGATCGCCTTCGTCGCTTCTTCTTCTCTGAGCTCGTGCTAGGCGTTCTTGTTCTTTTTCACCTTCTACTGTGGCTCACACCCACAGTTGGGGTTGGGCGAGAATTGAGTGATCATATACAATCATATAGAATTTTAGAATAGTAAGGGTCATTCAAAAGAAACAGTACAAATTTTATATAAAACTGTAATGCATATGGCAATTTAGAATAATGGAGGTCAGATAATTAAAAATTACGCCATCTCCCGCTAAAGGGAACCACGTGCAGATGCGAAGGAGCGGGTGCTATTGCTTACGCTGGCGGTGACGTTGACGCTGACGCTCATCGCGGCGTTGCGTAGGAGCGAAACCTGGGGAGGTGCAAATTACGCAGCGGTGGACCGTCGGTTCCTTGTAGAAAATGCCAGTCGCCGCTAATGGGCAACGGAGACGGAATACTCCCACTGTATACAGATACCCGCAATTCTCGTTTACTTAACGCGAATGCTGCGTATTTTTTTTATCCCGTGGTGTGGAGGACAGCCAACACTTGCTCACATTGCATGGGAATGTGAGTTAAGGCTAGCCAAAATTAATACGCCTCAGATTCCGGCGAAAAAGTTCACGATAAAGAAGTGGGAGACCTTACTCGCCAGAGAGGGAAAGGAGGCCTAAGTAGCGCTCCTGGACCAGGCGCGGCGGGTTGCTGAGGCCAGTGGAGCCCTGGATTAGGGGCCCCACCCACCTGCTTCTAACCTTTGTTTCATTTTTCCACTGTAATAAATGTTTTTCCATTATATTTCTCTACGAAAACCATGAATGGTGTGACGAGAACGCCTGTGCCTTCAGACGCTGCGCGAAGAAGCCCGTGACGAAGGCGATCGCGTTGCAAGTCGACTTGCTGCACAGGACTGGCTACGCAAGTAGTTTTCCGGAACGTTGATTGATTATGTGGGGTTTAACGTCCCAAAACCACCATATCATTATGAGCGACGCCGTAGTGGAGGGCTCCGGAAATCCCGACCACCTGGGGTTCTTTAACGTGCACCCAAATCTGAGCACACGGGCCTACAACATTTCCGCCTCCATCGGAAATGCAGCCGCCGTGTCCGGGATTCGAACCCGCGACCTGCGCGTCAGCAGCCGAGTACCTTAGCCACTAGACCACCACGGCGGGGCATGTTTTCCGGAACGTCCTCACCCAGGATAGCTCACCGTGCGGTCAGCGGCTACCAACAAGGCCGCCTGGAAAGATGTACAGCGCATTTTGTTTCGCTGGTTTTGCATGGTGCCATGCGGTTACAGTGCCCGCACGGATAAGTCGGACGGGTCATCGCATGCAGCTGCACTGCCTTGTGCCTGCCTTGAGCATGGCTTAGTTCAACGAGGCCGCCCAGTGACATCTGTCGAGGCAGGTCACATGGAAGGTTGTGCCAGTTTAACCTAGATCTCAAAAGCATCACACTATTGTGAAGATGAACATTCAGTGCTTTGCAGGCAAAACTGGTTCAGTACGATTACATTATTCTTTTCCTCAGTGTACCTCACTAAGGAGTTTGAAATGCGAAGAATTTCTTACCAAAGTTCGGCGACTTTGAGCGTATCCATCTATCTAGCCACCTATGACTTTTAACTCTCCTGGTCGTTTCGATAATGGTATCGATACCAAACAGGTATGACATAACATGACTGTATGAAGAACATATTTGAGTAGTCATGAAAATAATGACATGGATGCCATGAATGTCATGATTTACATTTCATGGTCCTGCAGCTCTTGCGGTGGTTTCGTTCACATGACATTCTGCAAAACTGATATGGTGTGACATGATTGCATGACGAACACAAGCGAGAGAGCCTAACATGAAAATCATGACATGCGTGTCATGTAACAACATGACTACATGCCACGGTCATGATGCACTCTCGGCCATTTCAATAGCGTCACATATACCAAATTCAGTATTACGGTACGTGAATAGATAACGAAGGTATGTGACTGGTGCAAACATGATAATCATGAGATGCGTGTCATGTAACAACATGACTACATGCCACGCTAATGATGCGCTGGCGACCGTTTCGCTAACTTCACTTATACCGAATTTGCTATTACGGGACGTGAATGGGTGACGAAGGTATGATACTGGTGAAAACATGATAAAGATGAGATGCACGTCATGTAACAACATGACTACATGCTACGCTCATGATGCGCTCAGGGCTGTTTCGCTAGCTTCACATGTACCAAACTCGGTGTTACGTGACGCGAACGGATGACATAGGTAAATGACACATACAAACACGATAATCATGACATGCGTGTATATAATGTAACAACATGACTACAAGCCACACTCATGATGTGCTCGTGGCTGTTTCGCTAGCTTCACACATACCGAATTAGGTATTACGTGACATCAATGGATGACGAAGCTATGTGACTGGTGCAAACATGATAATCATGAGATGTGTGTCATGTGAGAACATGACTACATGCCAAAGCCAAGGCGCCAATACATTTCGACGTGACGCGGTGCGCGTGCTCGCAGGCGTTCATTCGACGTGGCACGCCGGCGTTGCGACGCCAAGCGCCGGTTCTGCCATATACTCGAAAGGGTGTGCCGCGCTGCGTCGCTTTGACACATGCGTCTTTCAGCGCGTCCGGCGTCCTTCCGTCACGAAAAGAGGGAGACGCAGTGTTGTCTTGGTAACGCATCGGCGCGAAATGCAGCTTGTCGCATTTTTGCATCGGTTGCCGTAGGGCCGCGCCGAAGGACGCTGGTCGTGCCGGTCGCACCTGCCGTCAGACTATAGAGTGCTCGCGTTTTGCTAACGTAGCGTCGCTGTGCCTAGCGTGCGTGCGCGTCAACACTACATTGATGTATATTGGGCCATTCATGATGCGCTCACGGCCGTTTTGCTAGCTCCACATATACCAAATTTGGTGTTACGTGACGTTAATCGATGACGAAATATATGACTGGTCAACACATGATAAAGCTGATACGCGTGTCATGTAAGAACATGGCATCATACCACGCTCATAGCAGCTCACGACTGTTTCGCTAGCTCCACATATACTAAATTTGTATCACGTCACGTAATGACGAAGGTAAGTGACACATCCAAACATGATAATTATGACACGGAAGTCATGCACGGCATCATTTACCTCCACCTCGTGACGTTGTGCTCGTTTTTAAGTGAGAGAGATATCAACCTTTCTAATTTTTGCTTCGCATATTATCGATTCCTACTGTACGTGGGATCTGCCAATTTTTCGCTTTTTCATGTTTTATCAGCACTTAAAAAAATCATTAAACATTAACGTTCGTGACGTGAGTGCAAAGCACAATAAAAATACAGAAATGTTTTCAAGGGTAGTGATTTCAGTTTAGGTGTGCGTTATTCCTGTAAATGTCGCTGCATATACTGAGAAAACCCGAGGAGAAGCTATTGCAGGCTCGTGCAACGTTCAAGCTACGTACAAGAGGCTTGGCTTCTTCGTTATGGTTCCTGCACAGTCACGTTCCGCTATGTATTCCCACCTCGTAGCTGTATGCAACTGCTGTAGAACGAGCATGCATGTAGCTATCCTTTGTGCACTTATTGGGGAGAGTATACCTGCGTCAACTACGCTGTTGAGCACTTCGTCAACCGCAGATGGCATAGAGAGGTGTGCGCTCAAATAAATTTGAACATTGTCTACATTTATATATTAGTATGCAATGAGAGACAACAAATGTATTTATCGGTACATCTAGTCTGCTGCATCGTCATTTTTCGTGTTCAGCGAAGCCAACGCGGTGATTCACTAGCACCAAGCTGTTAGCAAGGGCTGTTTCATGGAGAAATGTATGTGCCTTTTTTCTTCGTTACTATCACCAGAGCAGTTCTCATAGTTTCTACTCTCCACGGTTGATTGTCATAGTGGGGACGGCGATGGCAGGTCTTTACAATGGGTGGTTCCGATTCTCTAACAGAGATACGGTGTCATGCATACGCACGGACCGCGTGGAGTTGATATGCGTTCAGGTTGATACAGCTCAGGAGTGGGTCTTGACTGTTCGGCAGGTGCGCTGGTCTTCTGGCTCCGAAACCGGTTGGCTTAATCCTCAGAATCGGCAGAAGTGCCGTAGCTTGTAACGTCCGCTGGGGCTGTCCGTGCTTGGGACCGGCTGGCTCCAATCGGGATGCACCCATTACGTACAATGACATAACAAAGCACTTTTACCTTGAACGCCGCATTTTTCCACCCCCACATCCGAAACTTAACAGACCGCAGGCATTATTAACCCTACGCCTATTACAGACACACGTGCCCAAACCTTGCCACGCTTCACGTTTATTATCCTGATGCATACCCCAGTGACACATGCCCATCATGTGGACACACGGTGACACTCGTACACATGTTTTCGGAGTGTAGAAAACTCCTCCCGACTCTACCTCAAACAAGTGGGAGAGGTCCCTCAAGAAGGTCACGTCTCGCCGACCAGCAGGCTGGACGGCACATTGTCGGTTCCCTGTCGGTTCCTACGTCGGAGATGCCCTCTACGCGCCAAGCGCGTATTGCAAGACTGAAATAATGTTTTTTCATTACATTTCATTTATTTATTTATTTATTTAATAGTATACCCTCAAGACCCAGAGGGTGTTAAAGAGGAATAATAATAATAATAATAATAATAATAATAATATAATGATAATAATAATAATAATAATAATATATAATAATAATAATAATATAATAATAATAAATATAATAATAATAATATAATAATAATAATAATAATAATAATAATAATAATAATAATAATAATAATATATAATAATAATATTAACGATGATGACGATGATGATGAAAAAACCGACATGGCTCAGTGGTAGAATGCTAGGCTGGCAGAGATAAGATTCAGGTTCGAAGAAATCATTTCGTTTTTTTTTCCCTCAATTCGTGCTGTAGCGGTTACGGACACCGGCGGGAGCAGCGGCGGACAACTACGGCACCCTTGTTGTGTTCTTTTTACAGCTTTCGCTGTAAATGTATTGACACATTTTTGCTGGTTCGTTGCAACGCTTCACTCACGACATTCACTTAGTATCTGGAGAGGTGACCACGCGAAATATATATATAGTCGTGTTCGCTTTCTGCACCAGCTAGTGTGTTACAGACACTCAAATAAGCTTGAAAAACTGACAACGAGTTGATGATATGAGTTAGTTCATATTTTCGATGAGTGAATTTTGATAACCAACAGAGCAACGTGCATAAAGCAAAACAAGTGTAATATATGTTTTTCACCCAATTCATATCAGACGTACAATTTCTCGTGATTATGTG